GAGTCGCATAATTGATCAGAGTTAAAGTCATTTACCAAGTATTTACAGATAGGATATAAATAAAGATTGTACAAATTTATTTTAATGACAAAGATTATTATAAAGTTCTACAGAGTCAACAATCTATGTGATTTGTATGACATCATATTGGCGAGCTAGTCTATCCAAAGTGTCAATTATTCAGTTTTAACTAGTGAGAACTTATTACTGGGCTTTAATTTACAGAATATTTTTAGTCACGTTTTTAATATCTTGATGGAAATTACTTACTTACGCCTGTTACTCCTAATGGAGCATAGACCTCCGATTAGTATTCTCCAACCCATTCTGTCCTGGGCCTTCCTTTATAGTTCTATCCAATTGTTGTTCATCCTTCTAATGTCTGTCTCCATTTCTCGGCGTAATGTGTTCTTTGGTCTTACTCTCCTCCCTTGGCCTTGAGGATTCCAAGTGAGGGCTTGTCTTGTGACACAGTTGGAAGTTTCCTCACTGTGTGTTCTATCCACTTCCAGAGCTTCTTCCTGATTTCTTCTACTGAAATCTGGTTTGTTTTCTTCCACAGTAGTTTGTTGATGAAAATAGTACTATGCAAATACTAATATTTTTAGCTCTAAGTAAACAATTATAAAATTCATGCTTCTTTAGAAATTTGATTTCGATGAAATCTATCCAAATTAACCATTTGCAATAATCGAACCCATATTCTGTATTACAAGTAGGATTTTGTTTTATGAAACTAGTTGGGATACCTAATTAATTTAATCAATGAGTATATGTGTGAAATAGAGTAATATTTATATTCGTTGGTTGATTCATAGATTGAATCGGTGAATAAATCCGAAATATTTAGCAAGTTCGTTTCAAATACATTTACATTAGTATTCATTGAAAATAATTGACATATATATTCAAATAAATAAATAAAGTTGAATTCCTCGAATAACCATTTGACTAAACTGAATCTAACTGACTTGACAGTTATTTTTAAGAAAAGACTTAATTACACACTAAATCAAATTTAAATATTTAACGGTTGAATTCCTTTTGACAATTCCAATTATAATCACCGTTGTGGTTCATTGATTAGCATAGTTTCCTCTCTTCTTTTCTTTAAAGTTAAGATGTTTATGCTGAATTATTGGGTAGAGTGGGGGGTAGGGATGGCATTGTCTTCACAAGAATAGTCATACAGGTGTACAGTGAATCATTATGGTGTTATCTTCTCTGTATGGTAGTGGTTCCGCTATATTTACTCACATGGAAATGTCTAAAAACAACGTAAATTAGTTGAAACCTGTTATTTAAATAAGCAAAAGCTAAATTGATAAAACATACATTTATATTAGACTGAAATAATTCTATTTATTGGTTAGCACTGTTCAATGCTTGTTGTCATTACAATTGTCAGGATGAAGTTTAGCTGAGATTTTTAGTTTATTGTGGTAAGTAAAAGTAATGTAACCGAGTTTATTAAATGAATTAAGTTTTCAAAACTGTCCAGTACGTACTCTAGTAGGTACAAATGGATCAGCACTCAAGTAAGAGTGAATACAGTGAACGCACCTGAGGACATTTTATGATGATTTTCAATAGGCGCGTAAAATAGGAAAAACAAGTATAATTTAGTACAGACACCACATTTGTGTCAAAAGCTGACATCAATTAGAAAACGATTGAAAACCGGATAGACTGAACAATTGTTTCGTCTTAACAATGTACACCCACAACCTTTAGAAGTTAAGTTATTTGAATAGATTGAGATAGCATCCAAAAATTGGTGAAAATTATAATTTCTACTTATCATGGAAAATCGACATCGTTCGATACTGTAATGCATATTTATTTTGTATAAATAAGTAGTACACGAGATTTTCAAGAATTTAGTATTTCTATTGGTTACTATGCCTTGGCATACTGTGCCCACTAGTGTGAGGAAAACAAATCACGCCATATTTATTTGAGACAACTCAAAGATATGATCATGACTATAAACAATGATCTAAACAGGTTTTTAGTGAAGCTATGAATGAAGTACGGATACTAGCTACCAGTCAGTGAATAATGTCGTGCTATTTATTTTTAAATGATAACAGAAATCAATGACTCATTTTGTATTGTTTGTTTGAATCTTCCTATTGATGTTAAGGACTGAACTTAATCAGTCTCTTATTGGTACATGTGTATCCTGTGAGTATTGGCCTGATATTGCCTTAAGTCACAAGCATTCTAAGTAAAGACGGATGGTAGCTAGCAGTGAAACCCAGTCATATTTGGGACTCGTCAACTGGATATATCTGCATCCCAGAGTTGATGTTCACTCTAGGACTCCAACTCAGTACCATCCGCCCCAAACGCCATCACGTTATTCACTTAGCTACTGAGTCCTGATGGTCACTAGCTTGTGCGATGGGAAGATTCAAACAAGCAACACAAAATGAACCCAAACTTCACTCCGTCGCACAAGCTAGTGACCATCATGACTCAGTAGCTATGTAGGTGGCGTTTGGGGCGAATGGTACAGTTTGAGTCCCGGAGTGAACATCAACTCTGGGACGCAGATGCATCCAGCTGACGAGTCCTAAATATTACTGGGTTCCACTGCTATCCTCCATCTATCTTTGTCTAGAGATCAATAGGATCTATCTTTTAGTTACAGATGATGAAGATTTAGCAGGAGTTTCCTGTCTGTTTTGCACTAGCACCAATAGACGCTCTCATTGGAACTATAACAGTGAATAATAATTGCCTAGTCGGATTATTATGATAATGTCTTCTGATCAGGTAAAGTGTTACTTAAGTGCCGGTCATATTTCATGTAATTTATGATATAATTTACGAAATTTTCAGTGTAGCCATTCTAATAAATGTCAGATTCGACTAATGTGAGTCTATTTCAGACAAATACTAAAAAAGTAAAAACAAATTAAAAGAAATTCACTGGTTAAAGGGGGTATTTATGGAGAACGAAACAGCCCAACTTAGGTGGACGAAATATTTAAGTGAGGGATATGAAGACTGTAAGAATAGTGGAAGCCTAGGGCTAATGTCAATCTCTTTTGATGATGGGAACAGAATATGTTCCACCTCTTGTGTTTTCCACTCTCAGACTCACTGTTTGGTTGATTACCGACTAAGTGTAAGTTTGGAAAATCATTTGCTTACACGGTTCTGTCGAGATATTTAGGGTGGAAAGGGTCGTGAAACTGCGAATCAGCTAACCACCCTGATGTCTGAGAACTTCTAGGAATATTAAAAAAATATAGAGACTTATATAGGGTGTATTGATATATGCTGAGAATAGTTTGACGATGTAAAAATAACCTTCCCCTAGGTTTTGTAAAGTAATGTGGCTTCAGAATGACTTTATTAAACAGACTAGTTTGTTCTATGAATATTGTTGTACAGACGATTTTACGGAAAAAACACCTGATTTGTTTTAACTATTACCAGAACTCAATCAAAAAGTCTCATAGATACTTGATAGCGAGTGAATAGATAGCCGAGATTTGTTCAAGCCATAAATTGTTACAAATCTTTAATTCCTAATAAATATTAATCGTTGACTGATTGTGTCAAAAGTAATCCTTTTATTTTATACTTTGGCAAAACTGTAACAATATTTTATACTGGTCCAAAGATGAAGTTGTATGTAAATACACGTTGTGTCCCTTAATGGTTTGGAATGTGGGGATGAATATCTTCGAAATACATAATAACGGTTATCTATCCAGTCTCATGAGTTGTACAACCCGACATGTGGTTTTTAAAAGGTATGGCCACAATAATACAACTTTTAACGTATCGATAACATTAAGTATTAATAAAAATAAAATGTTATGTACAAGGTAAATAAAAAACAACCAGGCCTATCATAGATATCAAACATTCATTTTTCTCCCATAATATCATAATTCTCATGGAGGCGGTAAACTTACTGAAGTTAATAATAGTTTTGATTATTCTATACCTGCGTTCAATACACTACTTAAAAGTGTTAATGTTGACCTACTGTAAAATGAATCAGTACTTTATACTTCAAGATTATTCAAAGTATTTGAGAACAGTTTCTCTGACTGACTGTAAAAAACTGAAAGTAATTTTCAGTATGGGGTTGTGGAGATTATTAAGTTTTTGATTGAGATCATGAACCGATTGATGTTAGACCACCATTGAAAACCTGGAAGCACTGGACGGCCGTTTCGTCCTATTGTGGAACTCCTCTGCAGTGCGCATCCACGATCCCGCTCACAGGATTCGAGTTCAGGACCTTTGGTCTCGCGCGCGAACACCTAACCTCTAAACCACTGAGCCGGCACCTAACGGTAATTTCGTTGACTATAAATAACTTTTAACCAATTAAATAAACTTATGAAATAAGCACATCAGTAAATATTTACGACTAGTTTATTTTGAATATTTCATTAAAATCAATATGGGAAAGATATGAGATAGATAACACGAAATTACAATCAACAGAATAGATAAATTTATGGCTAGCAATAGAATCCAGGCAGAGTGTTTCGTCCGGTTTGGGACTGATCATCTGGATCTACATAAGTTCCTGCTGATGTTCACGTACCAGTATCGTTCTCTTCAACCCCCAACGCACTGACTACTTAGCTACTGAGTTCAGATAATCGATCACTTATGCAACAGGCATAATACCCTTTATAATAATCATACAAATAGTTTGCAGTCGACCTAGATACAAAGGTGGCAAGTTTATCTGTTGAGTCAACCAAACTCCACTTAAACAATAATCACAACGAAAAAGAAATTATAGAAGAAGTATATAATTTTTTTATTTACTGAGGTTAAAAATCTACATTGTATTCATCTTATCATAAGCAACACCAATAACAAACTTACTTTGTTCAACCCTATAAATAGGCACATACATACAAACAAACATTTCTATACGAGCAAAGAATACAAAAACGAATTCATTCACCGAATTTATCCAATCATTTTAGAGTAGAAAAAAAAACAATGGCAATACACTTAACCATAGCTACAATTCATTGTGAACCTACATTGAAACTCTCCGAATTCCAAAATCATATGACGAGTTTCAACTCTTCTAGAAGAATAAGTATTCACAATACAGTTAACAGTCAAATCAAAGAAGAAATCATTTCAGCATAACTATTATTTACTAACTTATCAGTTCATATAAATGAAATATAATCTATACTTTACTCAATTAATTTTTATTTTACAGACTATAATTATTGTTTTCAACAAAATTTATATCATATTTGGCAATGAATCAAAATCAATGACGTCTGGTTTATTTAAGACTAATAATGAAGTTATTAATAACATAAGTTTATCATCATCGTCACAGTATCCCAGATCTGATTATGCAAAAATGCCTTCTAATGATAATTTTATAAATTTTCGTCAATCTCAACAATCATTGAAGATGAATACTATGAATAGTAAATTAACCAATTGTCAACTGCAATTAGAATGTTCTACTGAAATGGAAAATATTGATAATAAACAAATGCCAATAATGAATTTTTCAACTACTCATATTACTGGTCGTATACGTATACCTGTTCGTAGTGGAAGGGGACCAGCTGGACCACCTGGTCCACAGGGACCTCCAGGACCACAGGGTGCAAGAGGATTTCGAGGACCACCTGGTGAACCAGGTAGTTTACAAGGTAAATAGCGTGTTGTATAAGTAATAAATGATTCAATTATGAACCAGAATATAGATCAATGTTTGTTTCTGAGTATGCACAGAGATTGTATATCATTTTTATACTAAAAGATATCGTAGTTTTGAAGAGGTTATTTAATTTTCCGAAAAAACGTTCAGTCTAATTCTATGAACACAATGTTTAGATCATGATGCTATAAAAATATCTGTGATATAAAAGTAGCAGAAAAAACTTACTGATCATCGTGAATTGATTATTAGCGATCTATCGATGACTGTTCACATAAACCAAGGTAATGCTACAAAATGACAAACTGCTACATGACGGCAGAATAACTGTCATTTAGTATAATGTTTCAGTGAGTAATTCATTTATATGCAAATTAGTGTACAAATAAGTGTGGTTAGAAACTATTGAGAGTAAAGTAGTATGACATACAAAAGTATCAGAACAAGATAATTCAAACTGAAAATTTCATTTTTTTGTTCACCACTGTTTAGTTCAAATAACTTTCAGTTTGAAATACTGTAGTTGTGTCAGTGAAATGGACTCTCTTAAATTGAAGGATTTTTGTTTTGAACTAATTAATTTGGCAGATCAAAGTTCTTTATAATACGTTGTGTGCTGTTGATGTCAACAGATTTACGTAGTATGTATCGCCAATCGAAAGTGAAATACCTGGAGGCAGATTGTTAAGAAGCTCGAGTAAAAGAGAACGTGAACAGCGAATGATTGGTGTGGAAACAAAAGAACAATAAAGTCTGAGACGATTGATTGATATTTTGTAAATGAATTATTTACGGTTCTCAGATTCTACTAAGACATTGTGTAATTTCGTGTTCAAATACATTTGGTTGTCACCGCTTGTGTTCTTGTTCACTACAATAATTTTTTGTATTGAACTTGAACACAATTCGCAAAATTCTAGTATAGCATTTTTATTTAAGTGAGTTTTTTTTGGTATAGTTTAGATATTACCAACGTTATCGACGATATAAATCTTTGACTGTTAAAACGTGATAATTCGTCTTTTTCTATAAGGTCACTTTCACTTCAAATGTAAACACGAAAAAGTGTACATTGAAAAATTAGACTACTGATTCAAAATTAGATAACACACACTGTGTATACATTTTTAAGTAAACTCTCATTATGAGATTGAATAATCCTTCTTCATATTGTGTTAAAGCGAGTGCAACTTAGATATTTGAATTGTTTGTGGGTTTTGTTAATCTGACTTAACATTTACCATTATTCACTTTAATTTAGGCAAGTGATATTATCCATGATCTAAAAAATCGTTTATCTCCCTACCAAAGAATCAGTATATTAAGATGCAGCTCATCATACCTTACTTTATAACTGTGAAGCGTTAGTTTTGCTAAGTGTAGATATTGAATAACTTGTAAGTAACCAGTCATAACGCTTGAATGTTACAGAATGATTTAGTGCGTAATAATGAATGTAGTTATAGATTAGTACTTAGCCAAATAAACTCGGTTGATAAAGATGAGTGCTCATCGACTGAAGTAGTTAGGATCAAGCCACTACCTAGTCGAATATATAATCCTTTTAGGCACGAAAGTAGGGAAGATAAGATAAATGAACGCACAAATTTTCCTTATCAGGGTCGTTTGCTTATAGCCATTTTATATAGTTATTAAACGAGAATGGGTATATTTTCTCGGTTTTTCTTATGAATAGAGAACTTGAGGTAGAGTTTTTCACTGACATCAAACTAAGTTTATTATGAAATTAATAATCTGCTGGTAAATTAAATTGTTTCCCATTCCAAATAGAAGTATAAACTGAACTAGGCTTATGTTTTACGATAGCCACAGCTTGATAAAATAGAGAAAATAAATCACTTCAGTACCCTATGATATTAATATGTCGTAAAAAGGTTTTCTAACTATTATCTAGGGTTCCTTTGCCTTTGTTGAACACAATAAAAAATATATTAGTAAGGCAGTATCAAGAATTACTTAAAATAGTTTTGAGAGGAAAATTAATATAGCACATTTTGGTGATCTCGCATTCTATGATACGAATGGTTTAGTAATAAAGCCTTCATGACCGTTTTTATTATCATAATCTCAGATGCTGACTTCTGTTCAAAGTAATCACAGATGATATTCATAACGATAATGAAAGATTATAAAACAAATTATTCAGCCTAGAAAACGTAATGTCATCGGAAACATTCACCAGAGACAAATAACATCTGTTAATAAATCGATTATGTGAATATAACTCCCATGATGCACAAATGTTTTAATGGAATAGATTCGTTTACATTTTATATTCAGTGTTTTAATTAGCTAAATGTACACTTCATAAGTGTAGCTTCTCAGTCTCTTCTTTCATATCATACGTAAACATAAAGAATCATTCATATAAATGGTAGTAAATTCGTGTAAGTGGTTTCTTTTCAAAATGTAGAACTATTTTTACCGGATAAAAATGGAAATTAAGTTAATAATAATCTCATTATTATTTTTGTTGAAATCAATTTACTGAAGGAACGAGTTGTGTATACTGAATTTTAATTTAGATTTTGGTTGCATTGCTTTTAAAATTTGGCATTTGTTTCTCCTGGAAAAAAATCACCAAGTACATTTGACAAGTAAATAAAGGCAGGAAATATCTTCGAATTTTATAGATAGGACTTATATAACAATTTAAAAGAGTGTTTGTAGTTTGTTGAACAGTAATTTTCAGTGGTGATCTATCAGCAATCGGTTCATGGTCTCAATCAAAAACTTAATAATCTCTATAACCCTATACTGATAATCACCATGTGCTCGCTAGTGACTAGCTTCCTGAAGGAATTCTTGGAGTTCTAGTGAGAAGCCGTGACCAGTGGAGCTAATCCGTGTCGGGTAGAGACAAATATCTCAATCAAAAACTTAGTAAGCTCCAAAACTACTGATAATTTTTAATAGATAATGATTATAATAAATAGCTGTAAAAGTGTTACAGTGGTGCATTATCCAAATCAATTTTAGAAAAGGTTGTAATGTGCACGGTTTAAGAAACAGTAAATATTTCATTATCATAACATATTACTGTGATGTCTTTTAAAAGATTACTAATATACAGATACACACTACAGGTTATTAATTAATGTCATATTGTCCAGTTTTCGGTGATGATAAGTTATTTTTATAGCAGGTCAGTGATGTAAATACATATCTAAGCTGATCAACATTATAATTTAATTTGTTCAGGATTGAATAGTTTGAATTATAAGGTATTACCCTTTTAATTAAAGTTTATATGAAACGATATTTATCAGCATGGCTTATGTTTAAACTTGGGAAAGCTGATATTTCTTTAAACAGATAAATTTGTATTAATTCGTATGAAAGCTACTATTTTTGACCATAGTATTGAGTTATAAGGGTTATTTTCACCAAAAATGACATGACTTTATTCTGATATACAAATGAGATGATTATCATTGAAATATAACCTACTTATAAATGTTCTTAAACGATTCCTCAAAAAATTTATTATTGAACGTTAAAGATAACTAAATTTTATGAATCATTAAAATTTTTAAGTTACTACCGTATTTTGATATACATAAGGATGAATGGTGGCTAGCAGTGGAATACAGGACGCACGTTTCATCCTATTTGGGACTTGTTAGCTGGATGTACCTGATCACTTGTAATCATAAACAACAATGAGAAGGTATAAGCAAGCAATACCAAGTGAATATATATATATATATATATATGTATGTATTTTGAAAACATCTGTTAACATAGTGTAGTACTATTAAAAAAATCAAATATTTTAGTAATATGGAGTATCACCTACTTTGTATGCAAAAGTTATAAAAACACTATGTAATGTTTTGTGTAATTAGTATTTCAATTTCAGTCTTCAATAGTCAATCGTAAACATTAATCCCTATCAATTCAAGTTACATCATATCATATCAGTGATAAGAAATTAGTATGATACTACCATTTTTGAAACTTATTTTTAATCTTTGGACTCATTTATTATTTAACGCAATAGTTATTTCTTTCTAATTATATAAGTATTTATTTAATTTACATGAATGAGAAAAATGGACTACTGAAAATTACAACATTTCAGTAGTTATCATCTACATTGAAATTATTTATAGTAGTAACGAAGTTAAAGCATTAAGTCATATAAGTTCAAATGTCAATAGTGATTATTTTTTGTAAAATAAATAAAATGTTATCATTTTGTTTTATTTAATTTAACTACTTAAATGACAGATGTTTATCAGTATTATATACGTTGTTTGTTTGAATATCTTATCAAGATATCTAAATTTTTTGTATATATATATATAGGGGCATACAGTTATCAAAATAGAAAATACGAAAAAGTAAATGCGACATAGTAAAACAAAATTGAAATAAAGAATTTAATGTCAGTAGAATAAGAAATCGGTTAATTTTCAACTAGTCTCCTTATTGAAAGAAATCAGAACATAATTTCTATAGATAGAAAAACAAAGTATATATATATATATATATATATATATATATAATCTCTCGTAAAAAGATAGAAAGGGTAAAGTTAATTGGATAGTTTAAAACTAAAGAGAGTCAGCATAAAAGAAAAAATCTTTTGGTTTCCTTTTATAAAATTTATTGTCAAATAGCATTTCATTCAATTATTTGTACTCATTGCTTTATCTGTATAATACTTGCGTGTTTTGTGAACATTTCTGTTCAAATTTATCAAGATATGAAGGGCGAGAGAAAGAGAGGGAATGTATGAATGAATTACCAAAAACATAAAGAAGAACAGAAAAAATATATAGGCAAACTGTCTTTACATTATTACAAAAATAGGGTGGATGAATAGATGGAAAGAGATTGTCTGATAAGAAGTTTTGCGTATTACTAATTTTGCTACTACCATTACTACTCATTTTATTGTCATTTTAACTGATCTTTATAGAGAGAAGGAGAGATCCACAAAAATGCAATAATATTTATATATGG